CTCTTTTTCCCGCGAAAGTCTGCGATCATTGTCATCCCTCATCTTACGGGTTCACCAATGTTGTTCCTTCTTTGAAATCCCGACCCAACCTCCTTTCACGGTCCCACGTCCGACAAGTTCTTGAATCCATCATCGTGCCAGGAGTCCGAGTCCTGAAACATTCGTATCGCATCCCCGGAATCACGCCTCGTCCGTTGCCGGCCTGCTTCCCACGACACTTCTGAGCTTAATTCGCAAATTCACGAAGCTCGTCTCCCGCCTTTCGCTGGGGACGCAGCTTATTCCACGTCGCGCTTTACCCTTTTTGGGGTAGTATAGTCCCTATATAATCCCGATACAAAAAGGTTAACCTTTAGTTCCCCATGATACCCGACAGGTAAGCTAAACCCTAATCCCTAAACCCTAAACCCCTAATCCCTAAACCCTAATCCCTAAACCCTAAACCCCTAATCCCTAAACCCTAAACCCAGGTAAGTAGGACGATCCCTCGACTGGTTATTGATCCAGGACCAAGATCCTGGGGCCCAGGCTCCCAGGTGCTGATGAAACCCACCGGGCCACTCATAAAGTATAAACCTATAGAACCTACCCAGAGGCTCCTTAGTAGTTCCTTTTTGGGGGTTCATATTTAGAATCCTGAAAGGTAACCCCAAAAAGGAACTACTCTGGAGCCTATGGGTAGACCCTATATGCTCGGTTCCTTCTTTGTTCACCTCACAGTTCTTATGGATCCTAACACAGAAGGAAACATGAACCTTGATTCATCGCAGCATTACCCATAGGCTCCTTAGTAGTTCCTTTTTGGGATTACCTTATAGGATTCTAAATATGAAACCCAAAAAGGAACTACTTTAGAGCCCTAGGGTAGTCCCGCGTGAGGTGGTGGACCAGGGTGCCGTGGTTGGCGTGACGCAGTACATGTGCGGCACCCTTCCGGACCCCGAGATGGCTTAGGTTGGCTTTCTTTCGATGGGAGTCCTTTTGGGGTTGTCGAAGCATGCTAGGACGTCTAACCAGAATCCTACAAGAAGAAGCGATTTCTGGCTTAGCGATTGGAGCCTTGATCGTTCGGAAGCCAGTAGAATCAACGCGCTGAGCTCGGATGTATAAACCCGATCCACATTTCCGAGATTCCGTCGAACAGAAACTTGCAAGTGTGGCAGCCCCCTTTCCGGATTCGGTTACGGTTCAGAGGTGGTGAGAGCCCCGTTGCATGTCGTCAGTGCAACGGCTGAAGCTGCACGTGAATCCTACCCCTCCAAGTTGTCAAGCCTCAGGTGATAGGTGATTTAAGATCAGTAGTGCCTGTATGAACAGCTGGCACTTGGTTTCTTCATGTTAGAAGCCGGATGTGCAGGACCTGCCGTCGTCGTCCTATCCTCAGCGTTGTTACAGCTCATTTGAACACGCTGTCTTGGCGATGAAAGCGCACCAGGAAGGACTGGTCAGATATCTCAATGAGGAGCCAATCTCCAAAACTCTAAACTGTAAGCCCCTAAATAGGTCACTCCTCAATGTGCTTTCCACTGCAGACTGGCACTGAAACAGCAGATAACCCTGCCTTAAAGAGACGTGCTCTTTATGACGTGTGGACAAATCCATCATTCCATGGACTCACATAGCAGCCAACCCGGTCTCCAAAAACTCGTCGAATTTTTAATGCTTACATCAACGTGGTTTATACGTTAAATTCCTGCATTCCGTGGTTTTAGAGTCTGTGGGTTCCCTGCACTAGACTATACGTAGAAGCGGAGCCAAGCATCTTGAACCTTTCTGGGGCGCTCTAATCCCTGTATTATCCCATTGGTTAGCTCAGGCTTTGGTTACCCAATACACCCCCAGCCCTAAATCCCCAAGCATCAAACTGAAACCGAAGCCCTAAACCTTAAACTTAATATTAAACCCCAAAACCCTGAACCCTAAACCCTCAACCCCTAAAGCCGTTATAGAGGCTCCCAAAGCAGCCCAACGAACTTCGTGAACTTAAAACCCAGCTCCTTAACAAGAGGGTTCTATAGTAAGTGAGATGGATTTTTTCATTCTGGTAACTTCACCCCTAAACCCTAAACCCTAAAACCCTAAACCCCTAAACCCCTAAACCCTAAACCCCTAATCCCTAAACCCTCAACCCTCAACCCTCAACCCTTAAAGCCCTCAACCCTCAACCCTAAAGTGCCGTTCTACAGCCTCCAAAAGCAGTCCAGCGAACTTCCTAGTAGTAGAGTAGGTAACCTTTAACCTTTCTTGGGGTAGTATTGTCCCTATATAATCCCTACCCTATAGGTTAACCTTCAGTTCCCCATGATACCCGACAAGTAGGCTAAACCCTAATCCCTAAAATCCTAAACCCCTAAACCCTAGTATCCCTATATAACCATGAGGCCCGACAAGAATGAAGCAGCCCAACAAAACTTCGTGAGGCCCTCCTTGGCTCTTTGCCTCCTGCGGCTGCTTCAGACCATGGCTGCGGCCCTCTTCTCAGCGGATCTGGGTGTGTTTTTGGATTTTTGTATAGGGCTTATGGGGAGTGGGTTTAGAGTTTAGGGTTTAGGATTTAGGGTTTAGGGTTTTTGTGTAGGGCTCACTTGGAGGTTCAGGGGTTGGGGATGTTTTGAGCCTTTGAGTGGGGTTTGAGTAGGGTTTAGGGATACGTAGGGTTTAGGTGGAAGTGGGGCTCGCGAGTTCTGGGGCTTGTCTCTTACGCAGAGTTTTCGGGGCGTGATCTGTCCAAAACAGTTTTTAGACCTATCGTTCGGCATCTCTCTTTTCTAAACGGGTTGGGGCTTGTCTCTTATAAGGGGAAGTTTGCGGGGCGTGATTTGTGCAAAGCAGTTTTTAGACCTATGTAGCTTTCTTTTGCTGTAGCGTTCGGCATCTCTCTTTTCTAAACGGGTTGGGGCTTAGGGCCTTAGGAGTCACAGAGTGGTTTTATCTTGGCTGAGGGTGGGAGCTTAAAGCTACGTTCCAATCTAGGTCAATACCACTTCCATGGCATCGCTTGCTGTTAGACGGTTTGGGACTGTGGCAGAAGTCAACAGCCTTCGTCGTTAGGGATTGTGGCTCTGCAATGGCGGCTGAAGTTGTGAAGGGTCTGGGGAGGTTTTGTGCTTGGAGTGGCGCGCCTTGAGGGATTAGGACTCTGGGGTGTAGGCCCTGTATATATATATATATATATATATATATATAGCCTACAGCCGAAAATGATCCCATAACATATGGCCGTTGATGCCTTTGAGTTTTTCTGAGTGATTTGGGTGAAGCAACCTTCAGATTGTTAAGTCTCAGGGGCGTGTCTTTCGTTTGCGTTGGAGGTGTTGCTTTTCGATTTTTAGGCTCTTTGCTGTTCTGTCACTTCTCGGCCAAAACTCAGAGAGCTGGACCAGGGTTGGAGAAACTTCCATCCGGAGGAATTCACAAGTCGTTGCATAGCTTCCAGTTCGAGAGGCCCATGTCTGACGGGGGTTAAACCTGCAAGTTTCGCGTTGGCTCAGTAGTCGCTATACCTAGTTCCACTTTGAACCAGATGCAGTTATGTAGGTTGCAGCAGAGCTTTCAATACGGCAGTACTGGTGACACTAACTAATCGTAAGAACAACGATGCATGGTTTTCCTGTCACTAACAATGAAGAAGGCCGAACCAGTCGCAATCTTCACCAGGTGACCATGTATGCCAAAGACGGCATGCGTGACATCTTCAGCGGCGGGCCCGGGTTTTGCTGAGTTTGGAATACACAGAGCCCTCGAGGATACGTTCTACGCCCCCGACCACCCCGAAGCCCTTGAGGTCAAGACTCTCCTTCCAGGGGATCATAATCCAGGGGACCAGAAGATTCTTCAGGTCTACATGAATGTCAATGCAAGATGTCATGAAACTTCGATTTTCGGCTTCGACTTCCACAGGTACATAGGGTAGGATCTTCATACCTGGTTCGAGTAGCATTGTGGCCCTGGCCGATGCTGAAATTGCAACTTTCGGCACGGGCTTGCGATCGAAAAACTGTTGACTTTCATGGTCGTGTACTTTTGTACCATAGTCTCTTGCAATGTAGTGTACTAGATTACTACCTTCCAGGAGAACCGGAATCTTCAAACACGCTTCGAGTTGTCACGTCCACTGTGTATGCAGGGATTTCAGGCGCCTCCCGCGTTTACCAGAGAATCTAACTGCTGTTTTGTTGGGTTATCCTGGCTCATCTTCAAGCATCAATGCAAAACCTGGACCGTTATCGCCGTATTCATTTCGCTTCCAGCAGGATTCATAAAGGAGTTTCCCCGAAGCCGTGGCCTGACTGCGACAGTGGGTCTCTGAGGCACGGGTTTTGGCCTCATTGGCAAAGTGGTGCGATTCCTGGGGAGGGGGCCTGAGCTGCCCAGGGATGCAGGGGCAATGGGGGTTCAGGGTTTTGTTGTCGACGAAAATGGTTTCGACTCTGTTTATTCTGGGATCATGTTCAATGTGTAACTGTACGATGACGTATATCGATGCCAGGTTCGTCTGATGTGAGAACTGTGCAACTCGGATGCTTCAGATGTTCCATGCAACCCGTTGCTTATTCCCTCATTCAAGGGTTCTGTTCCTGAAACCAGCCTCAGCATCATTCCATAAGAGAGTGATGAACCAGTGTCAGCTCGGTTGATGTCGACTTTGCATACCCGTTCAAGGGCAATTGTTTCTTGGTCTGCGCGCTCTGTTAAAGACAGGTCCTCAGAGGCTGTGGATATACTCTCTGGGCACAAACTTGCCTAGGAAGTTGAGTAGAGTAGAGCCGGATGCCTGCGGAAGCTTCTTGAGACTTCCGCTTCTTTGATAGTAGTCGTGGATCTCTGATGTGCTTGACAACCGATGACCCCATGTTTTCCACTGTCCCCAGTCTTGTGCTGAGCATGAACCATATATATATATATACATACATATATATATATATATATATATGCAGCATGAGCTCACAAAGATCCTGCAGCCATCCAGAGTCCAGTTCCAAAGTTCGAAGCCCGGGGCCATGGCCATGGCTGTTGCCTTCTTCGAGTACTTGCCGGAGCGAGGGATTTCTCTACGAGCCGCGGAGCTTCGTCACCTGTGTTGGATACTGGCGGATGTGAGAAAGAGATCTGCAACCTTCCATGCGCTGTTCTATGTGTTCCGCGAAACGGTCCCAAGTTTCTTGGCGGTGCCTCTTCAGAAGGTCACCCTGGCTGCAGGCGCTGCTCACACTTGCGCTGTGAAGGCGAGCGGTGAGCTGGTGTGCTTTGGGCACAGCGGATACGGCCAGTGCGACGTCCCGGCAAGCTTGGGCCCTGTGGTGACCGTCGCTGCAGGCGCTAGTCACACTTGCGCTGTGAAGGCGAGCGGTGAGCTGGTGTGCTTTGGGGACAACCGATACGGACAGTGCGACGTACCGGCAAACTTGGGCCCTGTGGTGGCCGTCGCTGCAGGCTCTTATCACAATTGCGCTGTGAAGGCGAGCGGTGAGCTGGTGTGCTTTGGGAGCAAATATGAGGGCTGGTACGATGTCCCGGCAAAATTGGGCCCTGTGGTGGCCGTCGCTGCAGGCGGTGGTCACACTTGCGCTGTGAAGGCGAGCGGTGAGCTCGTGTGCTTTGGGGCCAACGCTGAGTACCAGTGCGACGTCCCGGCAAACTTGGGCCCTGTGGTGGCCGTCGCTGCAGGCGGTTGTCACACTTGCCCTGTGAAGGCAAGCGGTGAGCTGGTGTGCTTTGGGGCCAGCGCTGAGTACCAGTGCGACGTACCGACAAACTTGGGCCCTGTGGTGGCCGTCGCTGCAGGCGAAGAGCACGCATGCGCTCTGAAGGCGAGCGGTGAGCTGGTTTGCTTTGGGGGCAACGACTATGGCCAGTGCGACGTACCGGCAAACTTGGGCCCTGTGGTGGCCGTCGCTGCAGGCGGTTGTCACACTTGCGCTGTGAAGGCATGCGGTGAGCTGGTGTGCTTTGGGCTCAACCATTGCGGCCAGTGCGATGTGCCTGCAACTTTGGGGCTCTTGTCGTCCCGCATTGTTCCAACATCTCTGTGTTCTGGAGAAAGAGCAGATCGGGGCACAGTCACGCAGGTCGTGCACCACACGGAGGCGGCTGCGCAGATCCATCCGGATGAGGCAGCCGCGATCGTGGCTGAGCAGGAGGCCTCCCTCATCCAGCACAACATCGATTCCACACTTTGGACCGCTCATGAGGAGGATGCAGAGTCCGACAGTGACCGGCGTTTTCGGAGGCTGATTCTGCTGGAGTTCACGCGCTGTCCGGCCGAGCTTACTGAAGTCCTGGAGCAGTCGGAAGCCTTGCGGCCGACCCGAGAAGCGCTGACCCGCGAGGGCTTCCACTGGCTGCAGCCCACCGGCGCCAAGGTGGGGGTATTGTGTAAAGGATCGTGTAATTAGAGCGCAGAGGTTGTAAGAAGCCCAGTTTGTATGTCTAAGTAAAATTAAACAACGAAATGACGAGCTGCATGTGTAAGGATAATTACTTAAGGACAGTTCATGGATCCAGAGTGCTGTCGATTGATGTACCATGCGCAAATGATAGCAAGCTGTGTTTACTTAAGGGCATCGTAATCGGAAAAGTTGCAACAGGGACTCACGCAAGCAATATCATGTCATAGCTCCAAACGCAGTATAGCTTTATGGTATTTTGGTAGGTTCACTCGATGCTCATACACATTTCTTCGATGCCCTAAGCTTTATAACCCCACACCCGATAGTCCCCCAAACCCTAAACCGCGGGTTTAGGGATGTGGGCCTCGTCACGCAGGTCATCGTGGAGCCGGAGCTCATGCGGCTGCTCCGCAGCCAGCGCTCGGTGGAGCTCCGGGCTCACCATGTCCTGGTCACAGAGGACGCTTTGGGAACCCGGGGTACTGTAGCGTACATGGGAAGGCTATATGTTTTGTGATGGTTTTCAAAATTGGGGCATGAGGGGATGGTTGAACTCGGGGGGAGGGGGCCCGAGGGTTTGGGGCTGCGGGCTTCGGGTGTTTGAGTTTCGTCTTGGATCTCGAGGTTTGGAGCCCAGGCATTGGACGGTTTTGCTGCTTCGTTGTATCGTCGACGAGTCTACAACGTCAGAGTGAAGCGTCATGAGTCTCCCGAAGTTGCACACCCATATACACCCATGTTGTCCATGTTGATAACCTGTTAAACCCTCCAGGCGCCAGCAATAGCAGGCATGTGACTTATACCTATAGTCTCCATGGTGGTTTCTTTTTGGCTAACCAATTTTATGGTTAGGATCCTATAATAGTGATTTGGGTTAACTCAAAAAAGGAACTGCAATGGAGACTATATAGGTAGAATAGGAGTTTGCAGACTCGCCGGCGGGCCTTGTTCAAGTCGTCGTTTCTGCATGCAGGATCTTGAGGATTTCGTCATGGACGCTGTGCATTCTCTCCCATCCAGGCAAGTTTCAATTTTTGCGGGTCGCATGAATACTGATACTGTCGGACTCGGGGCTTTGCATCCATTCTTTGAAGTCAGACATGATGGAAGTTTCAACCCCTGGCCTAGCTGTGATTGTAAGCCGCTTTGGACGGACAAATGGTCCGTAGACTTTCTTCGCAAGCCGTGTTGGTTTCTGTGAGATCGATGTAGGCAAGTACAGGAACCCCATAGAACTTTCAGCGTCGACAGTGACAGTGCAAGAACTTGCCAACTTTGGTCTGCTCCCTACAAGTCTAGAAGCCCGGCAGGTCCGAACAAGCTTTGTTCTTCCCTTCCTTAGGCGGGGCCACAACCAAAGGGTGCTAGGTACTGTTATGGGCGATACCTCCCCAACTTAGAAGTAGTAATTCCTAATACAGAAACCCTACAACTCTATGTTTATAAAAAATGCATTTTAGATTAGGCTGGTGGCCGATCTCGGTCTATAGGTAATTACTTCGGACCCTTTGGGACAAGAACCTGCGAACCCAGGCGGAAAGTGCGCCTCCGAAGCGCCACCCCCATGGCGCTGACAGACTCTGGGATGCAGACCCCACCGAGGTTTGTAGGGCCCTGTGTTTGGAGTTTGGTCAATTATACTGCTGGCAAGTCAGTGCACTTTCTGGCACTGAGGCCTTGAAACTTGCGGTGCGTCTGGTAGTGATTTGGAAGTCCGGTTCCATGGACATGCGCAGTCAGCTTCGTGCGAGCACACGCGTGTAACATGTCAGGGTTGACTGGGTACAGCGGGGTTCGTACCGGGGTTTCCGGAACAGTATCCCACCCTAAACCCTAAACCCTAAACCGAACTGAGGCTTCTATAAGATGTGCTATCAGCATTCCCAGGTTGAATTGTGGAAGCTTGGGTCGGGCAGGCACTTCAAGGCAGTGAGCCCAGGAAGCCTGATTTGTTGAACCAACCTACTTGCAGGTTCAGGGGTAGTTATAAGGGTCCCTTTAAAGGGATCTATAGGGATCTATGAGGGTCTAGGGTTTAGGGCTTACTTGGAGGTTCAGGGGTAGTTTTATGTGAGGTTATAAGTCCCCTATAGTCCCCGAGTATGGGTTGTAGGTATAGTTACCCTACTTATAATAACCCCTACTTAGCTACTTATAAGTAATTACCCATGAACCTCCAAGTAGGCACGCCGGAGATCCTGCAAGCACGTTTGGTCAGCACCCAAGGGCTGCAGCTTACCGAGGATGGCGATGAGCTCGTTTTGGTTCGACGCACGTTTCTCCACCTTCCGCCGACGCAGCTCCATCATGCCGCCTCAGTCGCGCAATCCACTACAGAGGCAGCAGGGCAGAGTCGTGGCGACAGGGAGTTCTGTGCAGTTATGCACTTTACTGCATTTGCCTGCAAGTTTTGGCGCATTGCGAAAACGGGATACTCAACCCCCCTTTGCTATCGAATCTTACATCATGCTTCTTCGGACAGGTCCCTACCATCTTTACCTGTAGATCTTGCATTCGAGGTGCACTCCCCATGGACGTCTCGGGTTACGGCTCATCTTATGGGTTTGTGTTTCTGTGAAAGCGTGCCTGGCCTATGAAACTCTTTTGAGCGAGATCCTGCCATCAGGCCCGCGTCAACCATGGCACGAATCCGCGGAGAGTCTTCGCGCACACCGACTAGAAGTGAACTCTGTTTATATGCAGATGAAGCAGCTGTTGTCCAACCCCAAGGTTCGTTGGGGAGCTGTTTGCTACTCAAAGAAATTCGTGTGCACTCTTCACGGCCGCTGTTGTACCTAGACCCTCCATCTACCCTCTATTAGACCCTAAATGCCCTTTATTTGGGACCATATACCCCTATTTGAGGGTACAAGGAGGGTCCTGGTATGTGATCACTTGGTTTGGTCTCGAAGCCACGGGCATGGTGTGCCTTTCAATCCTTGAGCCGGAGCACATACCGCACGGGTCTGAGACCATTGAGAAGAGTTTTCCCCGTATAGTTCCCATATTATAAAGCTGCAATAAAGCTTGTTGAACTTGTTCAAGGAGCAGTATTATTCACTAGTCCATGCCGTTTTGCCTTGGTAGGAATCTGTCTGCAGTTTGCATTCTGCTTACTGCAGGCTGCCTGCCGGAATCAGGGCGATGCCAACAAAAGCCAAGCCTAAGTAAGGTTCAGAGGCTAGGGTACGTAATGCTGGTGGTGTTAGGGCGTGCATGAGATGCAGCGTGCTTGTCTTAACTCGGAGTTCGCAAGCTTATGACGAGTGCGAGGTGGCCTTTAGGGACCCATCGATATTCTTGTTTCCATCAATGCTCGAATCCGCGAACCCCTGAACTAAACTAAAGCCCATAAACCCTACACCCTACACCGTAGCTCTGACAATGACATGAGTCTGTCAAGCATCGCATTGAGTGGTTCCTTGCCTTGGTTTCGGAGTATCGGTCCAAAACATCGGCTTGTCGATGCAGAGATACTGAAGGGTATTTTCATCGTGTTGCTAGCCTGAAGTGTTAGGGTTCTATTAAGACTATACGCTATAAGCAGTCGACTAGGATGCCCAGTAGTACCCTTATCCCCTTTTTGTAGTCCTAGGTTCCTGATAAAGTTACCCAATACCAAAATAGAGAGGCCTTTTTATTCTTAGGTTACTGGGTATCCTAGTCGAGTTGGGTCGAGAATCCGGTTTCTGAGCGTTTCCTGGATGCTTCCGGATGTTTCGTCTCTGCACTTTGGCCCATTACAACTGCTTGTCATCGTGGCATCTCCTTGTCAACTTGTGCATGCTACTTGTACGTAGATGGGAGTTTCCGAAAATAGGGGACCCTAATATAGTACCCCAAATAGTAGGATCCTTAATATAAGGATTCCCCGAAATTAAGGTACCCCCCTAATTTTCGGAAGCTCCCACTTGTACGTAGATCTGGAGTTCCAACAGGCGAAAGCGCTGTACAGAGATTTATCCCCCTAAGGCTCCATGTACCCTTATAGTATATACTTAGGCCTTAAAGTACCTACATAGGGACACCTTTAAGGCTTAAGTATCTACTATAAAGGTACATGGAGCCTTTGGGTCCAAGCGGAGCTTCTCCGGAATCCTTGGTCTTGGGCATGCCGTGGTTCCAGCGAGTGTGCGCCACTGGTGACACAGCACTCCTCAAGGAAGCTAGTGACATCTTTGTATATACAAATGGTATAGTTTACAAACTTATGCACACATATAAGAACTTTTTGTATTTGAAATTTGCTTCTATTTAAGCAATCTCATATGTCGCAAAATCAGGCTGTATACAAAATGATTAGTAAGTGAGGAACACGGTTCAAGCGGGGGACCAAGCATGTGTGCTGTCTTTGCTCAGGCTGTTAGCATTCTGCTCACATGCTCGAGCACAGCTGCACGCGGCTCTCGACTGGGGAGTTGGCATTCTGCTGACAACCCCACCTGTGACAGAGTACCGCGTTGGAGCGCAGACAATGGAAGCCTGCAGTGATGCACTACGGAGGTCATGACATTATCAGTGCGGCTTCGTTCTGTCTTGAAGCCGTCATGCGAACCGCACATATAGATAGCCCTATATAATATCTATAGTAATTATCCTTAGTCTAAAGCAGGTCACCGACAGGCTCCAGAATGCAAGGCCCCGTTGGTTGTGATGTCAGCTCTTTGGGCAGGGCTCTCCGAAGTGGACATGAGTGGGCCTGCATCGACTCAGTCAGACAATTCTCGGAAATCTAGACCCGAATGAATCGTCACTTGGACCCGTTAGAGACTGAGTTCAATGTTTAGGGTTTAGGATTCTGAAGTGCTTATATATATATATATATATATATATATATATACACTACCTATAGTCTCCATTGTAGTTCCTTTTTCCTTTTTTTGCTTCACTAAAATCTAAATTATACGATCCTAACCATAGCGTTGGTTAACCAAAAAAGGAACTAGAATGGAGACTGTAGGTAGACAACTATTGAATCCTCACAAAGACGGGCGATTACCCGTTGTAAACGCTTTTCCCAAAGGCTCCATGTACCTTTATAGTAGATACTGAAGGCTTAAAGGGGTCCCTATGTAGGTACTTTAAGGGCTAAGTATATACTATATGGGCACATGGAGCCTTAGGGTTTGAAGTGGGATAGCGGCCTGGTGCTGTGCATGACCCCTGGCTGCATGAGCCCGGAAAGAGCCATGCCACTAGATGCGCACCATAATACTAGGTTACTATTATGGTACCACTTTTCGTAAGGGGAATTATTACTATAAGGTGACTATCTGCAGCCTTCTGTAAGTCCAGATCAACGTTCGAAGCTCGGAGCCATGGCCATGGCCGCTGCCTTCTTCGAGTACTTGCCGAAGCGAGGGCTTTCTTTACGAGCCACGGAGCTTCGTCACCTGTGTTGGATACTGGCGGATGTGAAGCAAAGATCTGCAACCTTTCATGGGCTGTTCGATGAGCTCAGCAAAACGGTCCCCAGCTTCTTGGCAGTGCCTTTTCAGAAAGTCACCGTGGCTGCAGGCCTCTGGCACACTTGCGCTGTGACGGCGAGCGGTGAGCTGGTGTGCTTTGGGTACAACGGGCACGGCCAGTGAGACGTGCCGGCAAACTTGGGCCCTGTGGTGGCCGTCGCTGCAAGTCATTGGAACACTTGCGCGGTGAAGGCGAGCGGCGAGCTGCTGTGCTTTGGGCTCCACGCTCACGGCCAGTGCGACGTGCCGGCAAACTTGGGCCCTGTGGTGGCCGTCGCTGCAGGCGGTGGTCACACTTGCGCTGTGAAGGCGAGCGGCGAGCTGGTGTGCTTTGGGCACAGCGGATACGGCCAGTGCGACGTGCCGGCAAGCTTATTGGGCCCTGTGGTGACCGTCGCTGCAGGGGATCATCACACTTGCGCTGTGAAGGCGAGCGGTGAGCTGGTGTGCTTTGGGGACAACACTTACGGCCAGTGCGACGTCCCGGCAAACTTGGGCCCTGTAGTGGCCGTCGCTGCAGGCCTCTGGCACACTTGCGCTGTGACGGCGAGCGGTGAGCTGGTGTGCTTTGGGTACAACGGGCACGGCCAGTGCGACGTGCCGGCAAACTTGGGCCCTGTGGTGGCCGTCGCTGCAAGTCATTGCGCTTGCGCGGTGAAGGCGAGCGGCGAGCTGGTGTGCTTTGGGCTCCACGCTCACGGCCAGTGCGACGTGCCGGCAAGCTTGGGCCCTGTGGTGACCGTCGCTGCAGGGGATCATCACACTTGCGCTGTGAAGGCGAGCGGTGAGCTGGTGTGCTTTGGGAGTAACGATTGGGGCCAGTGCGACATCCCGGCACCTTTGGGGCTCTTGTCCCACAATGTTCCAAAGTCTCTCTCTTCCAGAGACGGAGCAGATACAGGCACAGACACAGAGCTGCACGAAGCTCCAACGATCTTTAATGTGACGGAGGACGTGCGCCACAGGGAGGCGGCTGCGGAGATCCCGCCAGATGAGGCAGCCGCCATCGTGGCTGAGCAGGAGGCTTCCCTCATCCAGCACAACATCGACTCCACCCTTTGGACCGCTCATGAGGAGGATGCAGAGTCCGACAGTGACCGGCGATTTCGGAGGCTGATTCTGCTTCAATTCAGTCGCAGCAAAGCCGAGCTCAACGAGGTTCTGGAGCAGTCGGAAGCCTTGCGGCCGACCCGAGAAGCGCTGGCCCGCGAGGGCTTCCATTGGCTGCAGCCCACCGGTACCAAGGTGGCTGCACTGAGCTTGTATCTGTCTGGCTTGCAAGCACCAGTATAATTACAAGTTTAAGCGAAAACTCAAGCAAGACACAGTTCTTGTCTTATGAGACAAGCTTGGTAGAAGAAACACCAAACAATCAAACTTCGTTCAAGCGGAAACTATAGCTAAGTACCGACCTGCCTGCCCACCCAGCTGCCTCTCTCTTTGTCCTCTTCGCCCTCTGTAGAAGCCCCCTAAAACCCCTAAACCCTATAAACCCTAAAACTCCTAAAACCCCTAAACCCTAAACCCTAAACCCTAAAACTCCTAAAACCTCTAAACCCTATAAACCCTAAAACTGCTAAAGCCTCTAAACCCCCTAAAACTCAAAAACAAAAAACAACGAAGCAGGTCTTCGTGGAGCCGGAGCTGTTGCGGCTGATCCGCAGTCACCGCTCTGCAGAGCTTCTGGAGCTCAAGGCCCATCATGCCCTGGTCACAGAGGACGCTTTGGGATTCGGGGTTTAGTGGGGTTTAGGCTGCTACTGCTACTGTAGGGTCTTAGTCGTAGTCTTAGGGTGCAGGGCTTCAGTGGTTTGGGGCGTTGGGTTCTTGGATGTTCTTAGGGTCTTCGGGTCTCGAGTTGTGTGTGCTGTGTTTGGGTGTGCTGGTTTCGGATCGATGATTTTTGGCTTCAGGGTTGTGAATCTATGGATGTCTAGACATGTAACACGACAGGTGCTCAGCAGGTAGCCAATTTCCAAGGCAGGCTTTCGAACTCAGAAGCAGTCCTCTTTGTATATATGTACCTAACACTCAGCCACAGATCCGCTGACCTGGATGTATGTTGCAGGCCCGCTTAAAACCCCCCAGCCGGAGAGGCCCGTTTAGGCTTCTGGGGTCCAGCGGTCGACGCTGAGAAGCTGCTTGTTCTGTGCAATTGTTGCACGTAATATCATTGTCGTCATGTTGCTTCCAAAGATATCGTTGCGATGAT